TTTACAGGGGTAGTATTTTTTCACCACCTATTTACTTGGGTAGTGTTTTTTCACCACCTATTTACTTGGGTAGTATTTCCACCGTCTGTTTACAGGGGTATTATTTTTTTACCACCTATTTACTTGGGTAGTATTTTTTCACCACCTATTTACTTGGGTAGTATTTCCACCGTCTGTTTACAGGAGTAATATTTTTTCTCCACCTATTTACTTGGGTAGTATTTTTTCACCACCTATTTACTTGGGTAGTATTTCCACCGTCTGTTTACAGGGGTAATATTTTTTCACCACCTATTTACTTGGGTAGTATTTTCAGTCTGCCACTTATGTCTTTTCTATAGCCTTTCACGTAATTATATAAAAGCACATCACTGCCTGAAATAGTGCAATGCATTGCATATTCACTGCAACTATTTCTTTGAAAATATTATTACATAAATGCAACCAAAACATATATCTATTTTATTTATTAAATCTAAATGCATTCTTCTATAACATTTTGCATAAATTTTCTCCACGCCATATATATTGACAGTTCAACATGTTAAATGGCTGGAGCTATCACAGTTTATGGAAAGTTTACAAGTTAGGTTGCTTCATCAACATCAATATTAAGTGACTGCATATGAGAGAAACTGTTCTTTCATCAGCTTCAGATGTTATTATTTCCACATAGCACTCAATCCAGGAACATAAACCACTTTTAAATCCATCAAACTTGATACCTAAACATATGGGTTAGGATACTATAAGCTATAGGTGGTATGTTTTCCTTCATCTCGGTATATTACAGTCATGATTTACCACTGACAGTCTGTCTTTATGATGGGTTTTCTTTCACTCAGTGTTTCCCTATACAGTTAGTTGTCCTTGACCTTGTGTGTCACAATGCTGAGATGTCCTTGACCTCCTTTTTATCATTTCGATGAGTTGAACTTTACCAGTAATTCCTTGAGGCACTGTTTTTCACCATGGTAAGTTGTCCTTGACCCTCGGTGTTGCATGCTGAGAGTTTTTCTTGAACCTTAGTGGGTTTTAATGCAGAGTTTTACTCGACCCACAGTTTGTCACAATGTTGAGTTGTCCTCAACTCACACAGCATCACAATGTGGAGTACATGTATTACTTTATTATTCATTTTTTGACATAAAATGTGTCGCCAAGATCAGCTATCCTTGACCACTGTGTATCAATAGGAGTCCTATACTAAGTGTAATAGTACGTTTGACCTGTATCGTGCCTTGTAATAGTCGTTGAAGTTGAGACGTAACAACAGTTCCTGTAATTGACATCTATCGTGCCTTGTAATAGTCGTTGAAGTTGAGACGTAACAACAGTTCCTGTAATTGACATCTATCGTGCCTTGTAATAGTTGTTGAAGTTGAGACGTAACAACAGTTCCTGTAATTGACATCTATTGTGCCTTGTAATAGTCGTTGATGTTGAGACGTAACAACAGTTCCTGTAATTGACATTTATCGTGCCTTGTAATAGTCGTTGAAGTTGAGACGTAACAACAGTTCCTGTAAATGGGGTTGATATCCTCTTATGGCCAGCTTGTTAACGACTGTAAAATAAAACAGGTCCTGATTGTTTGTAAATAGGTTATATAACAATGAGTTTTAAATTGTTTGGTATAGTTAAAACGTATTGAAATACAGTTTATTTCAGTCAATTATTTGTATAACCGTGGATATATTGATACAATGCTAGATAGATAGCTGAATGTGTTCCCCCCATGGACAATAAGCCATAGGTAAACTATCAAGACATTTTACCACAAAACTGCATTTCTAAAGTACCATTCTGACAGAATTTACGACTTTTTGACAACAAAAGTAACTAGTATTGACTATAAATTTGTGATTTTGTAAGATATTCTTTACATTTGAATGTTAAATGTGACAAATTTAAGAACAATTATGAATAGCATTAGAGAAAGATGGTCCACTCACCCTTGAAAAGAAAGACTGAGTACTCTCTAAAAGCTTTGTACGATGCCACCATACTCTGGAAGTTAGAATGAGCTAGATTTCCTGTATCCTCATCATATTGCCATTCTGCATTAACCAGTTGTAATCGGAATTTCAGGATAAGAGAAAAGATGTCCTGTATGATTTTCATCACTGCCCCAGCTTTCTTGTTCAGTAAGCATCTGCCATAAAATATATAAAAATATATCAATGCCATATCAATCACCACAAACTAGATTCTGACTAATACACTTCAATATCTTGAATATGAATGTTAAAATTTGAATCCCTAACTACAAGCTTTTAAATTAAACGAATCAAAATATCTTCATTCTTTGAGAATTTTAAAAATTTTGTACATAATCTTCAAAACAAGTAAATCTAAAACCTGGTTACAGCACTACAAAATGTTTACAAAAAGACATTCTCTTAAAAAGACCATGCACCAGCTAACAGTATCAACAGATAAGAATTTTGTGCATTTGAGAGCATGGTCTCAAAACCAAGTTGTGTGGTTGTACTGAGAGGCAGAGGGATTGGTATTCCTACCTGAATATGGCTTTATCTAGGTAGTTGGAGTGGACCTTATGTAGGTCATCAAGGTTGTGGACATCGCTTTTGAGTGCCTCGGTAAACTCACACCAGGTAACATGTATTACCTGGTTAGCTATGTAACCCTGCATCACCTTTACAAAGTGCTGCATCTCCTGCCTGTAATAAAAAAATCATTTATCCATTTATATCTATTAAATAGATTTCAAATCCACTAACCAATTAAACAACATTGCAGCTACATAACAAATACCCTCTGTTATTAGTTTTGAGGCTGGATACAAACAAGAGGCCCAATGGGCCTGCATCGCTCACCTGTTATTAATCTAACACTTGTAATCTTAAAATTTCATAAGAACCTATTAAAAGATTTAAACATATGACACCTCTGACCTTGATTGTCGAACAAGGACATTAGGTTGAAAGTGGATCAAGGTCATTCATTTGAACTAACATGGTAATCCTTCATCCCAGCATGCTACAGGCCCAATTTCAGTACCCTGGCCCTTTTGCTTATTGAAAAGAAGTCGCTTGAAGATTTTACGACATTTGACCCCTGTGACCTTGAAAGTTGGTCAAGGTCATTCAGTTGAACAAACTTGATAGTCCTTCATCCCAGCATGCTACAGGCCCAATATCAGTACCCTGGGCCT